GTGGGGAAGGGGAAGAAAAAGCATCAGAATAAATAGCTAACGCATGAAGGGCTTAATACCTAGGTGATGGGTTGAGAGGTGGAGCAAACCACCATGGCACACGTTTACCTATGTAACAAACCTGCACATCTGCACATTTATCCGGGAACTTAAAATTTTAAAAAAAGAAAAGTGCACAAAGTACAACTCAATGGATTTTCCCGAAGTAAACATATTTGTGTAAGTAGCACCCAGATTAAGAAGCTGAAAGAACATTATTTGTACATCAGAACCCTCCCTCATAGAGCCTCCAAGTCATTAACCCTCTCTCATGAATTAGCTTAGCCTCTTCTGAGTTTCTACAAATGTAATTATAGTTTATATTTTTTTATGTCTTTTATGTCATCCATGCTGATGTGTGTAGCAATAGTTTGTTCATTTAGTGCTTCTATCATATGCATGTAGCAGTTTACCTGCTTAACTGGTGATGTACATTCCGGTTACTTCCAATGTGAAGTTACAGCAATGGGCACTGCTATAAACAATCCTGTATTTGCCATCTGCTGTAATAGTGTAAAGTGGCATTGTAATGCATTGGCCTGGTTAGGTTGAACTATCCTCCTCAGAATTTCCCTTCTTTGCATGCTTCCAGCTGAGATTTGGAAGTGAATCAATAGCCACGTTATGTTTGCATCTGTAAGGTCGGTGCAGAAGGTCCACTGCATAGCTGCTTCTCCGCAGGCTTACCACAGTGGTGAGGGGCAGCAGCCAGCCCTGATGCTGCTGCAGCCACCATCCCTTGATCTTCCTTCAGCTTCTCCGACTCCTAAGCCAGGTGTGTGTTTCGTTCCATAATAAAGGGCAACAGCTTCTCCTTAGGAGACACCCACATCACCAAAGCTGGATACAGTAACAGCCTGATCCAAGTTCCCATCTATCTTCATGAGTTTCAGCTTCTTATTCTTCCTCTTCCTCCTGCTTCTCCTCTTCACAGGTTTACTCTCTTCCTTCATAACTCTCTGCCCAGTAGACTTCAAATTCCAACAGCAGACACAAATAACAGCCTTATATAGATTGTCTAACAGCTCCCACAGTTGCATAAAACCAAATCCCTGCAACAAACTCCTTTATGTATCTCCTAGTTTTTCTGTTTCTTTGATTGAACTCTGACCATCACAATATGCACATTTCTACTACATCCCTAGGAATAGAATTGCTTTAAGAATGTTTGCATAACTGCAAA